TAAGGCTTTATATGTGAGAAGGAGGATTTTAAATTCTATTCTGGATTTAACAGGAAGCCAATGAAGAGAAGCCAGGATAGGTGAGATGTGATCTCCTTCACTTCTTGAACAGTAACAGCGCCAACGCCCAGCCGACCAATAGAAATGCGTCTTTGATTAAGCATCAAATTTATGAAACTCAGTTTGAAAAAAAGAAAAATAAAACTTAAATAACATGTTTTTTCTAGACAAAATATAAAGAAAATGAAAAATAAATATGATTTGAAGAAATAAGATGTGAGCAAACAGTTTTTTAGTCATTTCTGGGTTTCCTTCCAGTAAATGTCTTCTCTACCTGCAGCAGAGCTGAAGCCTCAGCAGCCGTTTGGCTTTTTCTTTTTTCTGCGATAAAAGAATCTGAAGGTTTTTGTTTTCTTGCAGCTCATCGGAGAGATCCTACCAGGAGGTCCCTGAGCCGCTAACCATGGGCAGCTACAAGCAAGTGAGTCCTTTCTTCTCTCTGTACCGCGCCTCTCCCTACCAGCTCCGCCCCCAGCTCATAGACACCATGAACATTGGGGGGCCCGAGCTGAGTGCCGGGGTTGGCCCAGCTGAACCTCCTCTGGACCCCCATGAAGAGGGAGCTGAGGAAGGAGAGCCGTGGACCTTGGAGTGTCTGCGGACTCCCCTTTCTGCAGACACCTCAGACCAACCGCCGGTGGCTCGGAGAGAAGCTTCTAGCAGCTCTAGGTCTGGTGTCTGTGAAGATCGACCGCTGTCCATGACAGATTTTGGTGACAGCTTGTTTGAGTGTGAGCGAGCGGAGCAGGACTTCAGAGAACTCTCTATGGAGCTAACAGAACCAGAGGAGGTTTCAGCTGCAGGGGCGGGTCCAGGTGGACCGCTGGAGGTCACTGCTTCCAGGAGAGGAGCGGACCAGGCGTCACTGCGGCTCTATGACATCCTGTATGGACCGGATGTTGACCGCCTGGGTCCAGAAGGTCAGAGGACTGCTGCAGATGAGGACATCATGGAGTCTATGGGGGGGGCAGGTGTTCAGCAGACTTTGGATCAGGAGGTCTCTGATCCTCTGGTCAGCCATGTGAAGGCCTCAGGTCCAGAGCCCGGAGCTCCAGCCAGCCCAGGTTCTGGTCCATCTGGTGTCTCTGAGGAAACCATCTCTCTCCCAGTGGAAGCGTCTCCATCTGAACTAGAACCAGCTCCTGGAACCTTCTGTGGAAGCTGGTCTCCTACTGAGGACAGGGCGTCCTCTCCTGATAGCGCCATAGAGGCGCTGCTGGTTCTGACCCAGTCCAGGGCCTCCTCACCAGGCTCCGCCTCCTCTGTCAGTGAGCTGGGTCTCCTGGCCCCAGACTCCCCGATACCTCAGTTCAGGCCCTTATCTCCTCTCCCTCCTCCCTTCCTACCGTGGGAGCTTGCAGTAGCTGGGGGGCCGAAGGGGGGCCCTCTGCTGCTGCTGACAGCGGGGGAACGACCCCTGACCCCCATGGTTCCAAACCAGAGACCCTTTGGTAGACCAGTGTCCCCAGCCAGTGGAGTGGCGTCCTGCTCTCCCTTTGACATGGAGGACAGAGCTCCGTCTCCTGGCTCTGTAATGGCTGAGACCGTCTCCTGGTTCTTTGGACCCGATTGTTGTGGCGACTCCTCGTCTCCTGGGTCGTTGCGGTCCGGGTCCGATTGGCTTGCTGTAGAACCAGGCCCGCCGTCTCCAGAACCATTCAGAGCTCCTTCTCCTTCCTCTGCCACCTCTGGACATCAGTCTCCACTGGTTCCACCTTCCTCCATTAAAGCAACTGGTGACCAACCACCAGAACAACAGACTAATCCAGAACCTGCTGAGTCCCACTGGGACCACGGAGACGACTGGATCTTCCTTCCTCACCCTGAGGACAGACCTGCAGACTCGGTGACTGAACATCAACCCAGGTCACCGCAGTCATCCCCATACAGAACCGATTCTCCTGCGTCAGATCAGAGTCCTGAGAGTCCAGATTCTCCCATCCATCAGTTCACATCCAGGATCCGCCGCCGTTCTTTTGGACCGGTTGGCTCCTCCTCACCAGAATCTGCTCTGTCTGATGCCGAGTATGAAGCCATGCCTCTGCTGCCAAGTCTGGATCCCAGGCTGTCGTCTCCTGAGTCCTGCTGCTCTCCTATCAAAGGTCCAGAAACGGGCCAACCGGGACCGACCCAAGGTGCACTCTATCAGAACCCATCCAGTCCAAAGGTTAAGACAGAAGGAGCTTCAAACAGTTCGGGGTCAGAACATGCTGATCCAAACGCCAAAACACCAGAACTTCTATCAACTGATGGCAGTAAAGAAGAACCGGGTCGAACCGATGATCCGGAACAAGAAGAAGGAAAAAATCTGGAGCGTGGTAGAACAGAAACATCCTCCTCACCATCTGCAAAGTTGTTGGTACCAACATCTCCAGATGGAGCTGAGATGCGCTCTGCTTCCGGACCTTCAGGCAGAACAGAACCTAGGCTCATTTCTCAGATCCACGATCCACAATATTCAGGAGACACGTTTAGAGGAGCAGCAGGAAGGCCTGTACAGCAGGTGGTGACCTCAGACTCCTTCGAGGAACCAGAACCTGCTGCTGCTACAGAACCCTCCAGGAGCTCCTGGTCTCCCAATTCTGAAGCAGAACCCAGAACCACACCGATGCTGCTAGAAGCTGTAGGACCAGATTCCTCTCAGTCAGGCAGACCTGCAGGGAACCACAGAGCAGAACCAGCTGAACCCCCCACAGCTCGGCTCAGAACCTCCTCCACTGATCTTTTACCACTTTGGGTTGGGTCGGTTCTGGAGGACCAATTGGATTTAAAGTTGTTTCTATTGGAGGACAGACCATCGTCTCTTGAAGCAGCACCAGGGGACACCCATCCAGCAGCCGGGTCGGTCCGGTCCCCTCCCACCCACTCTACCTTCTCAGACGGGGAGTTTGGGTTTGTTTCCTCATCTGGAAACAGCAGACCTCCGTCTGTAGGTTCTGTAGATGAAGGCAGACCCCTTCCACACGAGTCTCCTGTTCCGAAGTTAGAACCCCACCTTTCAAACACGTATCCAACCATGTGGGAGAGGTTCTCCTCCACCGTCTCCCTGAGCTCCCAGTCCGTCTCCGTCTCCATGAAGTCATTGTTCGGGGAGAGCCGGCCTCCGTCTGTGGACTCTGTGGATGAAAACGGGCCGGTCCCACCAGAATCCCCGCTTCCAGACTTCAGGTTGGCTCTCCATGAATGCCGTGCCCCTCCCCCTGTGTACGGGTCTGTGTCTCCTGCCTCTGGTTCCTCAGACCAGCGCTGTAGGTCTGCTTCATTGGAGTCATTGTTCGGTGAGATATGTCCTCCCTCCATCGGTTCCTTTGAAGAAGACGCGCCGCCTTCATCCGACTCCCCCGTCCCACACTTTGGACAGAGTGAAGACGGCCATCAGGCTCCACCACCAAGGTCTTCCTCTCCTGTGTCCTTTTCCTCAGAGGATGACTTTGGGTTTGTCTCTCCGGGGTTGTTGCTGTACAGCAGCAGACCTTCCTCAGTTGGTTCTGTTGATGGGAAATGTGCTGTTCTTGCAGAATCCCCCATTCCCCAGTTTGGCCCAGTTCTACCAGACAGCCATGCCTCCACTACGCTGGACGGATCCACGTCTCCTTTCTCAGCGGCCTCAGACATGCAGTGCAGTTCTGTCTCCATGGAGTCGCTGTTTGGTGAGAGTCGACCTCCGTCTATCGGCTCAGTGGATGAAACCAGGCCTCTGCCCGCTGAGTCCCCCATTGCAGAGTCTGGATTCGCTTTAGCAGAACTTCCTTTGAACACCCTGCAGAGGTCCTTGTCCCCTGATACCTTTCTGTCAGAGTGTGACTCCGATGTCCTGTCTCCATCTCCGGGCTTGGAAACTAGACCGTCCTCCCCTGATGTGGATCTCTGTGGGGACTTTTACAGAGGAGATTCACCAGTTCCTGACTTTAAGTCTGGATCCATTTCCTTCATCAGTTGTCGGTTGTCATCTCCTGGATCAGACCTATCAGATGTGGAGCATGCTCAGTCAGATTCAGACGCTCATGTGTGGGAGCAAAGAGCAGACTCACCTGAACCCGGATCATCTGGGCCCAAAGAGAGCCCTCAAAGCCACGCCTACAGGCTAGTTTATAAAGCAGAGCTGTGGAAGCTCATTTCTCAGATCCGGGATCCTCAGTATGTTGGAGAAACATTTTCCAGTAAAACTGGACTTTTTGAGTATATTGGAACCAGAATGCAGTTTGTCCATCAGAACCCTGAAACGGAGGAGGACAGCAGGAGGTCAGACCATCCAAGAAAATGTTCCAGCTCTCTGTTTCCACTGCACCTGAGTACCAATTCCCAAGACTTGTTGTCCTGCGACCTGCTGTCAGATGGAAACCCAGATCATCAGAGGCTTCAGATATTCAGTGGGAGCAGAACTCCATCAGCTGATTCAGAGATATCCACAGACGACAGCAGGTCTGATCCAGAACCAATCCCTGAAGGCAGCTCAGGGAGCAGAACCTCCTTCCACTCAGAGTGTTCTGATCCTGAAGGCCTTGCTTTAAAACCACTAGAGCAGCAGCAAGCCTCATACCAAACCCTCCTGGTCGGTTCTGAACAGAACCGGTCTGTAGACGTGTCCGTGCCGAGGGGACAGCAGCTGATAGGCCAGCTTTGTGACCCACAGTACACTGGAAACGTCCCTGGAAGCAGGGCTGATGCAGAGACTAGTCTGGAGGCCATTTCACTGGATTTAGGGCGCGAAAACATGAGCAGGAAACTATCCCCAGACTCTGACCTCGAGTACCGAGTCCTCTCACCAGAGACCCCCCGGTTAACCAGTGAATACCAGTATGATTCCCAGGACACAGAAGAAGAGAATCGTTTGTCCGCAGATTCACCGATTCCTCAGTTTTTCTGTCCCATATTTCCATCTCATCGGGAAGCATCTCATTTAAAACCAGAGCCATCCAGCCTGTCCTGGTTTCATAAACCTGCTGAGATAATGGGCGAACAAGAACCTGAATTAGCTCCTTTAGATCTATCTGGATTCACTACAGCAGAGTTCTGGATGCCAGAGAGAACCCTTTCCCCACATTCAGTGTCATCTGAAGCTGAGGGACGGGCTTTGTCTCCACAGTCTCCAGTATCAACATCAGATATTAGAAGATCCTCTCCTGACTCAATGACAGCTATTGACGAGTTTCGAGCTCTGTCTCCAGACTCGCCTCTACCGCCGTTTCTCCGAAACATGGAGCCAACCTGCCAACCATCATATCCTCTACTGGACGGGTCAGACACAGAACCAGAGCTTTGGGACCCAGCTTCCACTGAAGCTCAATTCCCAAGTCCAACCTCCAACCCTGAGAGAAAGCTCTGCATGCCTTTACCGGACTCAGGAGGTCCAGAGGGCAGATTGCCCACTCCGTCACTGCATTTATCTGGGAATCAGTTCAAAGCCAGAGAAGCAGAACG